TCACTGCATACTGAAATTTGTTCTCTAAATTTCTATCATAAAAGACTGCAGCTTTTAAGAGGTGACATTCTGTTTTTGTTCATCTTTATACACTTAGAAGTTAAATAATATTCTCTATGTAGCAAATGCTCAATATAATGCTCAATATATAAATATAATATAAATGCTCAATATAATATAATGCTTAATGATCAGACTTTTACTGCAGCTTCTTGGTAGCAGTATCTTAAAATATAGAGCTAATTTTTTGTGTGTATGGAATTTGTTTAGGTTAATAACCACAACAAAGTTAGAGTTCTCAAAAAGGCAGTTTTAAACATTAAATAAGCATCTGTGTGATAATTTTATCTTCAAAGTTGAATTTGGTTTAGCCCATGTAAAACAAAAAAAATTACAAATTAACAAAATAAAATTTATGGAGTAGTAGTTTTGATCAGTTAAGGCATTTAAATGATACAAACCTGGCATAATTTAGTATTTTATTTCTAAAAATTGTATTTGAAGTATTGCGTATGCCATCACCACTAATGCCTTGCTTGTAATCTCTTCCCCACCCCATATTTTCTACTTTATTTCCCTTCCTTTAAGATACTCTTGTAAGCAAAAGATTAGCGCCCTCTAGGGGTAAACTGTAGGCGCAATGTGGTACACTTTCTAAAAAACTGCAAAATTCTGGGAGGATTGTATGAAATACAGACAATGACGCTTCATCTTTATTATGTAATTCAAATTATATAATTTATTCCCAGAGTATCTCAAAATGTTTACCCTTTGCTCAACTCTTCCTCTAGCTTTATTTATTCAGTTTTTTGGTCTCACAGGAAGAAAATATCAAAAATGAGAAGAAAGAATGCTTTATTAAACTCTGAAAATGGAAGGTTGAGACTGTTGGCAGTTAGTATAGTCATCTGTGAAGGAAAGTTACCAGGCCAAATGCCCATGACTCACAGTTCGGGCAAAATAAAACTCTTTTCTATGTCACCCTATTTAATTCCTTCTTTTCTTTCTCTTAAATTGGTCATTTGGTCAGATATTTCTCAAGAAACCCAATTTTTCCCTCTTAGCTCTCATTACCCAAATGTTGATTTTTATTTTGAATTTACATTCTCTTTTATTCCATTCTATCATGGTGAGGAAAAATGACTCAGTATTTAAAAAGCATTTAGGACACGGTCAGGCTCCTAATAACAACTCATTGTGTATATGTACTTTTGCTTCTTATTGTTAGAAATGGTACTTTTTTTTCATAGTGATAAAAACAATAATAATGTATCTTACATTTATTAGCATTTTCATATACATTATTTCTCTGGGCTCTCAAAATAATCACTGAGCTAGAAACATTAGACAGTATTACATAACTAATGTCTAAGAAATTTTTCCAAGGGTTATCTAGCAGTTAAATTAATCTATTTCTCTATTTTCTTCTAAAATTCTTAAAGCAATTAAATGACATGCCTGAAGAGCAGCTTCCATTTTACATATTTTCTTTGGAGTAGATCCTAGGTTAAAAGAAAAAAACAATTGTGATAATAATATTTTCAGATTGTAGAATTTTTGTTCTCTTGCTTGAATTAGAACATTCTGTTATCAGATTTTTATTTTGTGGATGAGAAAGTTGAGGTCTAGAGAACTTAGGCAGCTAATACTACTTCTTGAAACAGGTGGCAGAAACAAGACAGAATTCAGGTCTCCTAATTCTTTTTCTCTTACAACTTGTTTTTCCTTTTCCTATCTTGGTTTTGTGTGTCATGATAGTATTCTCCTTCTCTAAACAGGCCCAATTTAATCTTTCTTTCCTGTTGCATAGGTATGATGGTGAAAAATGATACCTGGTTTTAGGACATTTTTGTGATATAAAAGATTTTAGTTCAATCTGGCAAAGCAAGTTGTGAAATTGACTTCGTGTGAAATAAAGTGTTTAAAATCACACCCCATCTTTACACACTCTGGAGTGAGAACATAGGCACTGCAATACGTAGTGAAATGTGATTCTGGAAGGATGTGGATCGGTATAGTGGGCTGGAAAACACAGCAGCACTGTTGATGCTGTTATGGGAGGCACAGTCACAATGGTGTGTTTGGATTGCACTGTCTCTTCTGTATGCTGAGGATGTCAGAACTGCATAATAAAGTTATTCATTTTGAGAAATTAAGCAGCTGATTATGAATTAGGAACTGAATATTGTTTATATAAATGTGATCTGTTCAGGCTCTGATACAATGTGTCTACTTTCTGATTATATTAGAGTTGTACATAGTATTAGATGCATCAATGTCTGTGAAATTCACAAGATTAGCTTTTCTGCCTTGTGTTTAAGTAGGCCCTTGCTTTATGAATTTGAACTGATGGCTTAGAATGGGACTAAACTATTCCTTACAGTATTCTAACATATAAGTAGAAAATTACCAGTACTCATTAAGTTGCTTATCTGCATTCACATATGTCACATATGAGGTAGATATGTTGCTGAAAAGATCCTTGAAAACTGGCTCATTTCTGAAATGTAACTGAGTCTTTGAGGCAATTGTCTTTTAATAGTATTCAATGGTAAACATTCTTAGAGAAGGGATAATCTCTTTGTAACTTACTTGATTATTTATTGATTTTCTTTTTTAAAAAATATATATATATTTTTTAGAGATTTATTTATTTATTTATGCATACAAGAACCAGCGTGCAGGCCAGAGTTATGGGGGTGTGAGAGGATTCACCGGAGACAGAGTGGGGAACAGAGAAGGTGGACTGACTGAAGTACACTGCTGAGGGGAGCAGCGGGCGAGTCAGGAGAGGTCTGCTGCACCATGTGGGTAGCTCCCTCGCCGGCCGGGTGATTGAACTTATGCTGCAGTGGCTGTGGATATCTTTGTATGTTGCGTCTTAACCCCTTGTGCCACCAGAAAGGCCCTATTTATTGTTTTTCTATTTAAGAATTACCTGAATGGTGTTAAAATATGCTCTTTTTAAATAAGAAATTAATTAATTTTAGATTTTCTTTTACTGTTGTATATTAACCTTGTGATACCAAAGATTCATATGCTATTCCTTGGGAAACAGGAAATCAAAATAAAATGTCAGTATGGAGACAGGAAATTCCTTGGTCAAAAGTAATTTAACTTCGTTTCAATTTTGCTGACCATTTTATTATAGTTTTGACAGTAACAGTTACTAAGAGCTATTGAGCTCTTGATATATATATATATATATGATATATATAATGATATATAATTTGTAGTTTATAAAATGCAGATGTGTAATTAAATACTAAAAGGACTATGACTTAGATAAAACTCCCCAAACACTAGGTATAGGGGCCAGTAAGTTTGATGGAAACTCTGAAGGCATTTTTTTATTAATTAAAAATATTTTCTGACATAATAAAAGATATTATAAAGTATATGTATGTATAGAAAATTAAGGTAAACTAATGGCATTTGAACTACATTTTTAGAATGAAAGACTTTACCATCAAACATTTGCTTCTAGTTTACGTTATGCCTTTTCTTACTTATTTTTTATGCCATCAAAAAGTATCCTTCCTATTTTAGATCTCTTTATGTTTTATGCTATATATTCATTTGATATTTTGAGAGTGCAGAGAAGTTTGACTCATGCATATAAAGCTGTCTGAGTTTACTTCATAGACTGACAAGCATGTAGGACTTGTGCCATGTGTGATAAGGATGGGTTTATGGTCTCTGCGTCTTTCTAGAGCACTTTTTTGGTTTCAGAATCACTAAAAGGTGAGAAAATGGAATTGTGCCAGCTTGCTGTGGAATATCCATGTTGATAGCTTCCTCTGACATTTGTCTGTCTAGCACAAACCTTAGAGTAGACCAGGTATTAGCAGGAGACAACCTACTTAGCCAGTTGCACAAAACTTTTGGGAAATCTTTGATGGTTTGCTCTCTAAAATCACAAACTTAAATTAGGCCCGTGGAATGGAAAAAGAAGCTATTACAATAGTCCTCCCATAACCCTCTCTCACATCTCTTAACACAGAGGATTCATTCCAAATCCCCCAGTGGATACCCAAAACCATGGTTACTACCTAGCATTGTATAAACCTTTTTTCTCCCTTAAATATGCACACCTGTGATATGTCTAATTTTTAAGCTAGGCAAGATAAGAGATTAAAGCAACTAAGGCCAATTACAACTATATATATATATATATATATATATATAACTATATATATAACCATATATATATATATATATATAAAATACAAGTTAATTGCATGTGATTGTCTCTCAAATATCTTATTGGATGTATTGGATGTAATGTTTTCAGATGCAGATGACCAAGGCTGTAGAAAGTGAATGGAGGATAAGCAGGGTGGGAGACTATATAGGTTTAATGTTAACTTCATGGAGGTGTTAATATGGTAATGAGAATGTGTCAACACAAGACTTAGGCTATGTAGAGGGAGGTTTGGACGGAGGTCTTCTAACCTGACATATAGGAACTTCTAATTTTGAAATAATTTTAGGCTTGCAAGATGTTTCAGAAATAGTATACAGAGTATTTTGTACCCTTCACCCATGAAAGATATTTTGTACCTTTCATCTGTGTTGTTTTTAAACTGTGGATCGTGTGGCATCTTGAATCTTATGGCCCAGAGAGTAGGAAAACTAACTGGGGTGATAATTTGCCCCTCTTAGTAAGATGGCTCTGCTGAATCTATCAGGAATCATGAATAAGGGCAGAGCATTGCCTGCATTTAAATAATTGTAACCCCATGTATTTGTCCACTTTCATATTTATTTCATTCTGTTTTAAGTGTAATAATTCTACTTTTATTTATGAATTGTTAATCTGAAGTGTACTTTGTAAATCTAAAATTAACCTTTAATAAGTGAAAGAAAAAATTATTCAAAATTGCTACATAAATGGACACAGTACATGGAATGTTTTCTACTTGTCACCTTTTTTTGTTTGAGTATTACAGATGATCTAGGTTCCAAGGCCAGATTTTAAATTGTTTTTCTCTGTGCAGGTTCGAAAACATGTGAATGATCTCTATGAAGACTTAAGGGATGGACACAATTTGATCTCTCTTTTAGAGGTTCTTTCGGGAGATACCTTAGTAAGTTTTAAATTTTTTTATTTTGAAAAACATGTAATCCTTTCTATATAGGATGAGTGTTTTTTTTTTCCTCTCAGTACAGACTGTTCAGATTTTTGCAACATTCATCTTCTGAGCTGAGAATTTTGCCTGGAAAAAAAAAAAAAAAAGAGTTCTGCTTAAATTCCTTAGCATTTTCAGTCTTCAAATGATGTGAACTTGGAATACTGAAGCACTTTGATTACCGTGCTTATATAATCAGTTCTATAATTAAAATACTATTTTTGTTCTTGCTTCTTTTTTACCTTTGGGATTTTTTGCTTAGCAGGAGTTGGATGCATAATATAATCATATATTAAAATACTCACAAATAGCAAGGAAATAAAATCGCTTTCTGAAAAATGGTCTAACCCATTCCACAGGTGTCATTTTCTTTTTTTTTTTTTTTTTGTGAACATTACTTCCCCTTCTTGGTTACCTGTTCTCCTTTGTTATGTTCTGTTCATGCTATTCTTTTCATTTCTGGTCTGTCTTGTGTCTTTGCTGTCCTATCTTCTGTCTGTTATATTCATTAGCCAAGGGAGCGAGATATTTTGAAGACCTTACGATTGGTGAGTGCAACAGCAGCATGCGAATATGAACAGCATGAGGATGTGGAGGATGAGGATAAGGGGGTAGGTGTCGGCCCCCATAACTCGACTAACTTAGCCAATACAGTGCGGTGAGCGCTAACGTGATAGAGAAGTAACCCACGGGTTTGGTCTTCTTTTTAGAACACCATACAAAGGACCAAAACCCACCATGAGATAGATGTGTGTGTACCAAAAAACTGGATAAAGGAAATATTTTCTCTTTAGATTTATTTATACATTACTGTGCACTGCATGATAACTGAAGATCTGTACTTAAATTCTATGATGGCATCTTTGCTAAAGAATTTTAAGTACTTTTATATAAATGCCAAAATTGTACAACTGGTTGTACAACTGGTTGCTAATTTTTATGCAAATTTATTCCATTAAAAAATTTTTATTTCAAGTATGGTAACTACTTATTACTTTATTTGAAGAAACTTAAGAAAATTTTATTTAATATTTAAGTTTTTAATTTCAGTCATATCTATTGTCAGATTTTGATGGACCTTTTTTTACCTCTTATATGTCACATTTTATTCAGAATAGGAGGAGATTTTAAGACCTAGAGTCCTGATAGAACTCACAGAGCTGTTTAGTTTCTGTGACAATTAGTTGACTTATGCCCACCTTTATAAGACAGATGTGCTTCTTTTGTCATCTACATTCTTTAGTGCCCCCTGATTTCATTGCAAATTGTGCTTTATGTGATCTGGTGGGTGAATTTATCAACATCAATCAACATCATTTTTACTGTTATATAGAAATTTTTTTTTCCCTCCTGTGGTCTTGCTGCCTGTTTTATCATGGTACCTTTGGCTTCAGCAACCTGTTCATATTTGAGAAGCTAAGCTGTCAGTATGCCTTTTTCTTTTTTTCTCTTGGAAGATTTTATGTGGTTAAAATTCAGCTCCATTCTTTGTATTTTTGTTAAGCATTCTCCTAGCTGTTTCCTTATGTTTTCCTTCTGCTAATTATTAACATTTCTTAAGGGAAACAACATCAAAGAAAAGAATTATGGTCTCTCAGTTTTCCTGAAGTAGTAGCTAATCATGTCCATACCTAAGCAGCGTAAAATGATTAGAGCCCACCTGATTTTGTGAAAAAAGCTAAAATAAAATAAAGAGGAAATATGTTATCTGATTTAATTGCCTTTCTCTCTTCCTCTATCATGGCTCAGTAAAACTTCACTGTCTTTCTCCTTCTTAGTGATTTTTATACTAATTGCATGCTAGTTTATTTTATTTTTTAACTTGCCATACATATGTAATTGTAAAAAAATAGAATTTGTTAAGATGGCAAAATGGGAGATGGCATTTATTTCTTTTTGCTTATCCATAGCTAAATAATCATAGGCTAGAATTGTAGTAGTGAATATATGAAGTATACAAAGTCTATATGCTTTATATTTTCACTTTTTGTTTAAATAAAGCATTTGGAATAAAGCATATGTTTAAATAAAACATATTCAGAAAAACCCCTACTTGTTTAAATTCAATTCTAGATAACATAAAAAATTTAAACTATTTTTTTAAAAATTTAATGACTTTACCCAAGGAGTAAATACTGTTTTGACATAGGAAGATGAACATAAATTATATTTATTTACTTAGTATATTTAGCATAAATATATTAGCATGGTCAGTAGTTTCAGAGACTGTAGTGTGTTTTATACCCTCCATTTTTTTATTCTTAGCCCAGAGAGAAAGGTCGGATGCGTTTTCACAGACTACAGAATGTACAAATTGCACTTGACTATTTGAAAAGACGGCAGGTATGATGTTTTGCATGTAAACCTATGTAATGAATAAGTCTACAAAGAAACTGGGAATGAAGGTGTTAAATTTGTGAATTACAATCATTAAATGTTTAAAAAGAGAAGGGAGCTAATAGTAGTTGTAAGCCTAGAGGAATTACAAGTGGCTAGATTCCCATCTGAATAAGAACTACTGATTTTCTTTCTGTTAGAATTGCAGTGCTTTTACCTAGGAAGTTAATGACATTTTGGTAGTCATAGAATGCTAAGAATTCATCTGAACCATTCTTAGTATAAGTGGGGATGAAATATTTTATTTTTTATACTTAGTTTATAAAATTATTTTTATAAAATTAGTTTATATAATGCTTTTTAAAAACTTGGTGTATTTTTAATACTTTATAGTGATGAGCCACTATTTTGTTTTCTATGAGTTGATCATACCAGATAACTTTTAAGGGGTTAAAAATAAAAAAAAAAAATGTTTCTCACCACAATCCCCAACTTGCTTGAGGTTTTAGAATAAATCATAAAAAAGAATGAACACCATATCGGATATGAACTTGATTTGGTCACGTTGTGTTTCACAATGATATGAGCCACAATAGTAATTTTTCAGTTAGTAGTACAAAGAAGAAAAAGAAAATCAGGAGAATCAAAGGTTAATAAATATGAATTGAAAACAAGACTTCGTAGGTAGTATCAATTTTGCCTTTTAATGTATTAGGGTAAAAAGGAAGGAAGAGAAAACAGGAGAGATGGAAACGTTGTATTTTATTATTCCTTAACTTACTATGTTTATGAAATAATTTTAATTCTTGTAAGTGCTCAGTCTTTAAACATTTAAATATTATTGGTATTTACTTTAGTCTACTTAATTCTAATGAAAGTTGCCAAAAGGATTCATGGTTAATTATGTCTCCTTTTCTGAAATGATTTTGGCAATTTTTTATTCAGGAAGTAAAATGATTGCTATCATTGTATTTAATTTTTGGTATTTAATTCATGATACTTAATGCTTGTCCAGGAAATAAATGTTGATATTATCATTACATTTATTTGTCTGAATGCATAACTTGAGAGTTTGATAAGCTTTCAGTTTGATTATCATATATATATTTGAAAAATCTTGTAAATATTCAGTGACATATATTTATCTGGACAACAATTTACGCTAGACAAAAGAAAAATAATGCTAGTTTTTCCAACATGTGAAAAGTGTGAAATAACAATTGTAATTATTTCATGGTTCAGAACAGTTTATTTCTTAATTGTAGGATAAAGTTTATTTTCAAAAGAAAATTATTCTAATTTTAAAATATCAAGTATTTAGGACTTCTTTCTTAATTGTATTTGTTTTTAACAAATGAGCACTTTTAATACTTGCTATAGTAGACAGGACCAAAATAATACTCATTTTTCCTTTGTGAGTATTCTGTAACTTGCAATCTAAAATGAGTAAAGGTAGGGAGTAAAACTTTATTTTGCAGATTATTGGTATTAAAGCCATTTGGGATTTTTCTTTGTATAATTTAGGATTGTTTTTATGTAGATAAAGGTAACTTATTTGCTGGCTTGAAAGACAGCTTAATCTCTTCTTCATATATGTAACAGGTGAAATTAGTGAATATTAGAAATGATGACATAACGGATGGAAATCCCAAATTGACTTTGGGATTAATATGGACAATAATTTTGCACTTTCAGGTAAGCCAGTTTTTCTTAATTGTCATCGTTTTTAGCCTCTCATTGCTATTTATCAATTGGCTCACATGAAGGGTGAGTTATACATTCATGTCATATGGAAGAAAGTAAATTTCAGGCTTCTTTTCTTAACTGATATATTTAAATTGTTCTTTTCAAGTAACATACTGCTTATGAACCTGATGTCCCAACCCTGTTGTCAATAAACTTAAATATTTTCAGAACAGTGCTTGTAATCTCAGAGTTGGAAGACAACAATTTCATTTTATTGAATGTAGATGTATTTCTTTTGTTTACTTGACAGTATTACCTGATTTACATACATAGAAATTTTATGACTAAATCCTTATTTAGAACGGTTGTCATTTAAACTGGTTTCCCAACTATGCAAATTATTTTCTATCAGTAGGCACTAGATGGCAGTATGATTATCATAGACCTGAAGTTAGTCGTATCCATGTTTGTGCAGGGATACAACATGTTTGTGTTGTTTTTGAGAAAGTAAATACAAATTTATTGACTGTGAATTATTATTTAATAAAACTGTGCCAATTGAGGAATGATTCTGATTTTTGAATCCTTGAGATTCATAATGAAAAAGTCACTTTATGTGATTTAAGATGGTTCCTCACTTGGGAACTTGCTTTAGTTTATTAACCATCTGCCTCTTCATACAGTATTCTGTGTGCAGTGCAGAACTTGACTGTAAGTCAAGCACACAACAGACCTTACTGATTGAATTCTGTGTAATTGGACCTTAAAGGAGAAAGAGATAGCTTGCTAGCTTGGAAAAGGGACTGGGATTTTCAAACAAAATCTTGAGAGGAGTGAGACTTATTGTTATTTTTGTAAAAATTTGTCATACATATAGTAAGTAGTTTCTAGGTAGATTCTAGGACCTGAAGAAGCAGCTGAGCAAAGTTGCAGCAGTAGAAATTTAGAGGAGACTCAGGTAAGCAGACCCAGGTACTAGTAGATCCAGGAAATCAGGTGTCAGCTAGCCAGACTACTGGGCAGCTAATATAGGTGAATGTCTACTCAGCAGGAAGATTCAGTACAGGAACTAGAAGTAGAACCTCAAAAGCTTAAATGCCTCCATTACTACAGAAACCCATCCTTAAGGGACCTAGGGGACTGAACACTAAACCAAGGCAGGGATTTGGGCATGGAGCCATACATTGTTACTAAAAATGTGTTAAGGTCTAATTAAATTGACCCCAAAACTGACTCCACAGGCAGTTCTTCAGAGCTTCTTCAAGGGAACCTTTACTTAGCCCTAAGTGGATCAGATCCAGAACTTTTAGTAGAGTTGAAACTGTGTGAATCCTACATGGGAAGGTCAGAGCCCTATTAGAAGAAGAGGCCACTAATATCATTACCAAAAGAGCTGGTAAGACAGCTGGCTCTGGATTTTGAATGTCAGAGTGAAAATCACTGTGGGGCAGAGGGAAAGCAACTACACTTTGGAGACAGGTGGAATGAAGCATCATTGTTGGCTCCTATTTATGGCTGTATGGCATTGGATAAGTCCCCTAACCACTGAAATATAATGTTTTAGGAAATTGGATCTATCTTTGTAAAATAAATTGAAAAGAGGAGCATGCATAGTTGGGGAGATGAGCTAAGAAACTGAGGTGGTAACCTGAGAGTGGAATGATAAAGAACTCATACAGGGATGAGAAATTGAATCCAAGATACATGTTTTGAAGGAGAGTAGAAAATTGGTGACAAGAAAATATGATAAAGAAGAGGGATTCAAAATGACTATGAACAAAAAACCGAAGACTACTGAGAGAAATGGGAGTGATAATGAGGTTAAAAATGAATGACTATCTGGGTGGGTTTAGTGACTTGTCGGATTGTCCTGTGTATCTGTCTGCTAAGCAGTTGCAGATATGTGAGCAGGGCAGAACTGAGAGGTCAAAGGTATAGAAAATAAAGTTGGGAGTTATTAGTATACAAGTAGTCATTGAACCTATCAGAGGGAGAGGATCCAAGAAAATACGTAGCAAAGAGTGAAAACTGAGGACAGAAATTTGGGAATGGCCCATCATTACCAATACAGGAGGAAGAAGCAGCATCTGAGAAAATAGAAAAGGAACATTTGGAGAGATGAATGAAGCAACAAGAAAATGCAGTATTGTTGAAACCAAGTAGAAAGGAATTGTTGACAGTATGAAATGCCACTAGAGAAATGAGAAATTAAGACTGAATACAGGTTAATCGTTTTGTTTAGAAGAAAGATATTAGAGACCCTGGAGGAAACAATACCAAATTTCCTGGGAGCAGAAACTAGAAAATAACAGGGCTGAATGTGAGTGATTTGTTGGGAATTAGAAACTGTGTTTAGACCCTCAGTTTGAGGAAATATAAAGCAAAAAGTTATTTAAAATGTAATTTATACTAAGAAAGCTCTTTGGGCTTCAGGTGTCTTTGGAGGAGTGAAGATAACCAACCATAGAAGGACCAGAACAAGGACCAGTGCTTACAATTGCTTTTAATATGATCCTGTAGCATATTTTATGGAATCTAGTATATTTTAGGACCCAAATTATCAGATTATGCTGGTTAAATTATCACCAGTATTTAAAAATTAGGCATCATCTATCTTGGAACATATCCATACTTTTGGTAAAATGGAAATGTCTATTATTTAAATGAAGTAACTTTTCTTAGTACTATGATAACTTAAGATTAGAATGATTTTACAGGTTATGCCAACGTATCAGGTTATTTATAGTAGTGGTAAATTATCCTTACCCAATGTGACTGAGCTTTTTTTTTTTTTTATTCTTCATACCTCATGTGAATAAGCAAAGTAATTTCAGAGGACCTATTTATTGACTGTGAATTATTTAAAAATAAGTGTTATATTTAAAAATAAGTGTTATATGTCTCACCAGTTTAATGTTTTCTTTAGTGAGTCTGTCTGAAGGTGAACATTATAATCACAGTAATAGTTGTCATATGTTAGATGCAGTGATACTAAACTAATGAAGTATGTTGTTTTGTGTATTGGGACACAATTCATAAAATTGACTAATGTAGAGTGATGAATCTATTGTATTATATGTAAAAATAGGGATATGAATGAGGGATTGTTGTGGTAAGGTTAGGAAGGTGTTAGAGAATCAGAAATTTTCACTGATTCTAGAGATAAGCTTTTAGGATGATGTTGGCTACCATGTGAAGATGAAAGCTGGGCCATCTCTGGGAGAGAGAGCAGTGTGCAGTGGCCTGAAATGGATATTTGCACAGTTTAGCAAGAGTAGGAGGAGGAATGGGTGGGGACCAAATCAGTGCTTACAGCCTCTGTCCTGTCCGTATACATACCAATCGTTAAACTTTTCAATTCTCCAGTGTTCCATGCAATGTTCCATTGCATTTGAAGGTGTTGAAAATGAAATAAAAGGCAAACTCAGAGCTTTGTTTTTGCTACTTATCTCTAGAATATTCAGTCTTTGCCATTGGAGAATGTTTCTTTTTCTTTTTTAATGCATTGGCAAGCATCAGAATCATCATTACTAACTTGAGTCTCTAATTGAATATTCATGTTTAGAAAAATGTAATGATTTCCAACTTTTGATCAGTTTAAAGATCTCCTCGAGAAAGGCAATTATCAATTTCCTTTATTAGTCAAAGATTTCTGCCCATATGTAGGTCTAGTCATGCTATACTAATTTCCTTTTCACTGTATCTCTATGACTCAGTGTTAAGAAATTTGCACCTTAGATAGTCAGGTTACATACTGATTAAATATTTTTACAGCAAGGCCCTAGTAAAATTTCATAATATTTAACTAGGATATGATTATAAAAGTTACATATAAGTTTAACTGCCTTAATTCGTGTATAACAATGTACAATTGTTTTGACTAAGTGCATGATTTAAATAATATTTTCTGTTTACTTATATGAAAATCCTAATGATCAGATAATGGAAATGACTTGGAAGTTTGTGGTATTTGAAAAATATTGCAAATTGTTTTAAAAAATTGGTTTTAGAAACAACTTAGAATATTTTAGGCATTTAGCGTTTATTATTTCTCCAACTATTGAATCATCCTGTTATTTTTCATGACTGCCCTTTTTTTTTGCAAGTAACAAAATTAGTTGGTGTTTCTTAAGAAAAAAATTTTATGGAAGAGACTTTCTAAATATAAATGTCAAAGGCATTTTAACGAAAATTTAAAGGTACTTTGCCAAATCTGTCCTGTTTACTTGCTTTTTATTTGCTCTCAGATTTGCTGAGCTACCAGTAGTTTCAAAGGTTAATGCAAACTTTGGTAGTATAACTGCATTCGAGAAAACTGAAAGTTAAAGTGTGGGTCAGAATCGTCTTATATAGTAAAGCTTAGGGTTTGCCTTGAAAACTCAATCAGTGTTGTAATTCGACAGTGAGCTGTACTGTTTGTCTAAGAGGATTGGTGGCCAGAAATAAGCCACGGTGTCTAATGAGACACAGGGACCCGGCTGGGCAGGATGCCATGGTATTTCTTGTGTGCCTTTCTCATAAGCAAAATGGCCTCATGCTGAAGAGAATGGTCACAAAGTCTGAGGAATTAAAGTGCAGAGTGGAATTTTCGGACTTATGAGGAAGAGCTAAGTAAACCTGGATGTTGAAATGAGTGTATCTGTGGAACTGTGATTTCCTACAAATCAAATGGGGAATGTGTGTGGATGTGTAAGAGCTGAGAAAGAAGAACAATATTTAGATCCTGCCAAAACTCCTTTGAGTCCTGAAAAATACTCTCCAGGAAGAAAATATTTCAGAAGAAAATCGATCAAGAAAATTGTAGGTAACACAGAGTCATTGCAGCCAAACAATGAAAATGAAGGCAAGAAGAGTGGCATTCAGCTCTCAAAAGAACAGTTAGCTCTTTTATCGGGGAGACTGGTACGGGAGGAATCTGTTACCCCAGACCTCAGGCTGGAAGATGATATTCCACAAGAGAAGACAGAAGTTGTACTTGACGGTGTTAAACAGAAACTTCTGCCGAGTGC